CCCTCCCCAATGGGAATCAGACGAGAAAAAACAGGCTCTGGGAGAGACCCAGATCACAGAGGAGGGTGGGGACAGACTCCCCAGATGTGACAGCCACTGGGGAGCTGGGGGTCTCCAGGGACACTCCCAGGACCAACACAGCAGCATCTGCAGGACCTGGGAATGCACTGGCATACACAGTCCTGGGTTCCACCCTAGACACGCCAAGTCAGAGATCTTGGGATGGAGGTCCAGGAGCCCCATGGGTGTTCAAGTGAGGCCAAGTTTGAGAACCACTGGCCCAGCACACCCCCTCCCCATTCAGCCCACAGCTAGGCTAAAGGTCACCATGGGCAGGTGGCACCTACGTTTGTACACAGGGGCTGCAGGCAGAGCCTGGCAAGCAAAGGGCAGGAACAGACTTGGGAACCTTGAACAGCCCAAGAACCCTGGCCATGGGCTTCCCGGTGGCAGACGGGCTTCAGAGCAGGGCTCTACAGTAACCTGTGGAAGGTGGCAAGGCTGTGCCACCCTTGGCAGCCAGGAGTTGCCTCTGGGAACCAGTGCTTCTCAAAGTTCATGGTCAAACAGAGCAAATGCTACAAAAGAACCTGGAAAGCCACACGGCCTTTGCTGGAAGAAGGGTAGTCTGGCCCCAGGGAGACCAGCTGTCTGTCCTGGGCTGCAGTGACCTGGGACACAGGAGTTTCCTGCAAGCTGAGATGTTGGGAGGAGAGGAGGCTGGGCTGTGTTGGGGATGCACAGCGATTCCTTCAGGCATCTGTAATCATTGCCTGCGCTAACAGGTGTCTCCTCCCTACTCCTGTCCCTCTTTCCTGGGACACAGCCCTGTGGGTCATGGTCACTGCTGCAGGGAATCCCCTGCCTGGGAATCCTGGCCTTCTCCCCTGTGGCCTGTCCGGGCCTCCTTCTGCCCTGGCCTAGCCCAGCTCCCTCCCTGCTGGGTTCAGTAGATCCCGGACCTGATCATGGCATTCTATGGACCAAAACTCAAATGATTGATCTGACACACAGGATTGCTTCAAAAAAGTTGCAGGAAAATGGGATTAACAGATGAGTTTATCTTGTCCAGAAATCATTTTCTAGGAACTTTTTGAAGACTCCCAGGTACACAATTTCCTTTTAGAGGCTTCATCCACCTGCAGTGACCAATAATTAGCTAGGTAGAGGCTAGGGCCAAGGTCATTCCTGGCTAACAGAAAGTTCCTTTGGGATCCTGTCAATCTCTTCTGGAATTAAGTACCCTCCCCTGTGCTCCCGACTCCCATGTCTGGCTGGTACCAACTGGGTGATGAATAGTAACAAGGTTTTAAAAGCGCTTCTTACTGAAGGGAATCCTCAAGCCAACCCCTGGGGTGGGTGTCATCACCCACAGACCTATCTTGTAGAAGAAATGGAGGCTTGAGTTGAGCAGCACTCCTGAATCCTTGGAGAGGTGATGGCAGGGCTAGCTCACTGTCCAGGGTCACAGAATCGAACTTGTGTACCAAGGCTACAGTATTAAGTGCCCATGTTCCTGTCAATAGTGCCAGGTCCCCGTGTGTCTATGTATCCACGCAGGTGGCCGACACAGGGCTGGGCATGGAACAAGGGGTCAACAAACAGAACTTGGGGAGGGACAGGCTCCTGCAGGAACAAGGGATATGAGACACCATCGATAAAACAACTGTGCCTGGCTCCAGAGTGTCCAGAGAGGTGGCCTGAAAGACGCTCCTGGGGACACTTTGTGGGGACCCCATCCACAGGTCCCTGAGCTCTGTAAGGTGGGCGTTGCCAGTTTCCTGGCCCTTGGCACACTTCTCACAGCTGTGCAGCAGATCTGGACATGACTGTGGGTGCTGCATGGGACCTTGAGCAATTAGTCTGAAACACCATGTTGCTTGGAAAGACAACACGCTTCCCAGGATTGAGCCATGGACTCTCTGGGAGACACGAGTTCTTCCTGGGCTGTAGACCGTGTGTCTGCATTTCACAATTGGCAGAAGCTGTGGTTGTGGCCACGGCCTTGACATTTCCCGGGCACTACTTGTGTGCAGGGTTCTGGGCTAGGCGCCAGGAAGACCAGGAGAAAGCAGCAAGCATTCTCTGCCCCATCTGCCTCCTGGGTCCTTGTGCCCACCACGGCTGCAGGCACATTGGCCTCCTACACCTCTCATCCTCACCCTTGGGTTACTGCCCCTCTTCCTGGGTTCACAATGCCAAGCAATGACTCCCCTAGTTCAGGCCTGGTCGCATGGCCAAGGCCAAACCGATCACCTTAGTCCAGTTCATAGGCCATTGTGATTGGGCTGGGAATCTGGCCCAAGCCAGTCTGGTGAAAATCAGCCCTGTGACTTTTACTGGGCTTTGGGAAAGAGAGAGTGTTAGCAAGGGGAGACTGCTGAAAATGAGGCTGAAGGAATTCCAGAGTCAGAGCCTCTGGTCTGAGAGCAAAGGCTACCCAGGAAGAAGCAGCAGCAAAGAGGGAGGTGGGCATCCAACAGTGCTGTGCTCGGATGCCATGGACCCAGCAGTCCTGCAGCCAGCATATCCTGACGCTTGAGACAAACCGAGCATCTCCTCCGTTCTGTGTCGCTTAATCCACTTAACATGCCTCTTGGCTGCCTGCAATGGGCAAGGCCCTTCTATGGTCTCGAACCACAGCTTATGCTCCCCTGCAGGCCTAGAGCTCAACTTTGAACCCTCACTGAGCCCTGGCTGGCCTCCTCCCCTCTTGCACAGTCCCCCTAGCCTGGCTGCTGGCTCTCAATGGTATTCTGATGCCTGGGTTATCTCTGGAGTTCCCCCCGCCCCCTAACTGGACTCTAGTCTGGAAGCTCGATTCTCATCCATCCTCTACATCATCAGCAAAATGAATGTCTCTGAAACAGCTGAAATAAGTTCAGCACTTCCCAGCCTTCACACCTGCCTGGGTTCACCACTGCCCATGGTGGAGTTTCATCAGGGAGGGACCCACATCTCCAGGGTGAAGGGGACCTGGCGCTTGTACATCTGGGAAGCTACAAGACATGGGCTCTTGGGAACCTTGTAGGATCTGCTCTGTCACTCACTTCCCTCCCTTCAAACTGGAAGGGAGGCCCTGAGCTCCGGGTGTTCCCACTGCCCAGGCTGGACTTCTTGCAGATTCTGATGGTCACTTTTTACCAGTGCAAGTGACACTGGTGGCTTCTTTCTTCAGAAATGGCTTTGTATCCCACAAATGTGAGTTGACTTACGGGGAAAAACGAGGCACCTGCCAAGTGGGTGGACTGGCCAACCATGCCACACAGGATGCATGCCAACTACCCGGTCAGGCATGTGGAGCCTCTCCTGCCACACCTTTAGGCCCTGCTATGGTGTGGATGGGGTTGTCCCTGCCAAAATGCCTGTGGAAATCTGGCTGCCAGGGTACCAGGCTTGGGAGGTGCCACCTGCGGGAAACAAAGGTTGATGCTTTCTGAGCGCAGGGGTGTGTTGCCACAAGAATGGATCCCAGCCCCTGCCCCCCCTCTTTGGCACTTGCCCTTCCAGCCCTATCATGGCTTGGCCGGCCTGTCACAGACTTGCCAACCTCTAGAGCCAGGAGCCCCCAAACCTAAACCACTCAGCCCTGGGGACTCTGGTCCAGAAACAGGAAATGGGTGGAGACAAGCCCCCCAACCCCAAGGGCTTGGCTTGCAGGAGAAGTCCCAGGGAAGCAGATCACAGCCAAGGCCCTGCCCATGCCAGTCCGTCTGCCCTGCTGCCCTTTCCCCACAGCCCAGCTGACCAGGTTGCAACCTAAAATGAGTCCATTGATTTTTTGAAGACCCTGGGTAAAGTCACCATGTACAGGTGTTTCGTCTTGCCTGACAGTACACTTGTGGTATAGCTGCTGACCACGCCTGTGTCCTCTTGTCCATCCTCTGAGAGTTACAACCAGACAGCCTCTCCTGAAGGCTGAGAGATGCCAGAAGAGCAGAACAGAGATGCACCTGTGTCAGGCCCAGATGCTCACCCAGCACGCGACAAAACAAAAGCGATGCTTGTCGGGGCTGGGTCTAACCAAGTACAGACTGCAGTGAAGCCATGAAGGTGCACTTGAAAACCAATGCCACAGGTAAAGTTGGAGAAGGAAGTTTGAGAGCCACAGCGGGTCCCAGGGTGCCAGAGGAGGATGGAGACAACAGGGGGCCTGGGCATCAAAAGGCAGAAATGGGCACCAACTGCCAAGAAACCCTGCGTTATTGCCTGGGCACCAAACACAACCAGCCACAGCACCGCCTCGCCAAGGTTGTTGAAGACCTGGCCCACGTGACTCAACAGGGACGTGTTTAACGAGGCAGAGCCAGGCACGATGGCGGGTGTTCTGCAGCCAAACCGAGTGACGAAACCCAACCCCAGACTCTCCTTTCAGAGATTCCATCGGCCTGCCACTGCATGCAGGAAACTTCACCACACCAAGGTCAAGGCCGAGGCCAGTGCTGGCTAAAGAAACACTCCTTTGTTTGAAGGGCCAGGCCATCAGCTAGTCCAGAGACGCCCATTGTCCCAGCAAGGTCTTAGCAGAATCTTGAGCAAATGCTAAAAGGCCATCTGGGTCACTTTGCTCCCATAACCTTGCTTGAGTATGGTTCTAGCCTTGTGGTTCCCTTCAACGGGAATTAAAATGGAAAAAACAAAACTCTGTGTGTGTGTGTGAGAGAGAGAGAGCGAGAGAGAGAGAGCATGTGGAGGGGTGCTGAAGTCCAGCCCCTGTGCAAGTCTGGCCTCCTCAACCATGCAGGCCCGGGCACTCATCAGATGGAGATTGACTTTGATCTGATTAACTGACGGACAGCATCCTTCTCCAGCTCGCAGGAGCCTTCTGTGGGAACGGCGTTCTGCAGACTGCAGGGGAAAGTTTAGCCTTGGCTTCCCTCCTGCTTGGCCAGTGGAAAATTACAAAGGAGGCAGGGCTGCCCTCGGCCTTGCTCCCTGGATCTTCCTGGACCCAAGAAAACGCAAAGGGAAACCTGGAAACGAAAGGAGCCAAGACTTACCTGGGGCTGACAGGAGCCTGGGAGGCGGTGGAGGCGGGGGTGGTGGTGGCAGCGGGGGAGGGGGGCGGCACTGGCAGATGTGTTGGCAGCTGTCAGTCACCTTGGAGCAGGACCTCTGGGGCTCAGCGTGTGTCACCTGCGGACATGAGCACACCTGAGAGATGTGGAAGACGAGGAGGCCATGGGTGGTCCACATGGGCCCCACCCACTCCAGTTCCCCACCACACTGGGACCCCGTGCACTTCAGGGACGGAAGGAGAGAAAGCAGCTGGGTAGCTTCAATGGGATGCAGGTGTGCCAGGCTGGCCTGCGTGGTCGGAAGATCACGGCTGCACACCCAGCACAGCCTGGGACCAGCTATGGGGCCCTGGGCAAGTCCCTGGCTGTGTGTGCAGGGATGGACAAGAGCGTGAAGGTCACCTGGCAGACTCTCCAGGAGAGCGGCCATGATGTCACACCTAGCCAATGACAGGTGCTGCTTCTGCCTCATCAGCCTCCCAGGCCTCACTGCCGCTCCCTTCCTCCCAGCTTCAGCCCAACTTCCTGTGCCCACTGGGGGGGCAAGGTCCACCCCAAGGAGAGGGTGCTCACTCGCCCAGGCCTCTGCCCCTGTGTCCCACATGACCCAAGGGCACTGAGCAGCTCTCCATCACCCTCTGAGTGGCTGTGAGGGCCCCGCCCCATGACACTGCCCCATGCCCTCCTCTCTGGGAGTGCCAGTCCTCCTTTGGGTGACCCCTGCTTCCCACAGTCTTCACCATGGGATTCTGGCAGGAGACTTCAACAAATGAGTGGAAAATAGAACTAAAAAAGAAGTGTGCTTGCCACCAAGAAAAGACATGCAGTTTTCCTCATTATATCCCATTTTCCATGAACTTTGTGAAGACCTCTCATATGCAAAAAATTCAGATTTTTTTTTGCCCCCAACATTCATGTTTCTATTTCATTTTTCAGGAACATTTGGAAGCACCTTCGTTAGCACTATCAGACCAGGGGTCAGGCCCGCCCCCACTCCTCCCCACTGTTACAAAACAGCTCCTAAGGGAGTGCCTAGTGTTTGATAAATTCTTAGTGAGTGGGGTCCGGTTTGTGTCCCAGCGGCCCCACTTCCCATCCAGCTCCCTGCTTGTGGCTTGGGAAAGCAGCTCAGGACAGCCCAAAACCTTGGGACCCTGCATCTGTGTGGGAGACCCAGAGGACATTCTTGGTTCCTGGCTTTGTATCGGCTCAGCTCCAGCCATTGTGGCCACTGGGGGCGTGAACCAGCAGATGGAAGGTTTTCCTTTCTGTTTCTTCTCCTCTCTGTATATCTGCCTTTCCAATAAAAATAAATAAATCTTTAAGAAAAAATTATTGGTGAGTGAATGTGGCTATTGGAACCCAGGCCAGAACTCAGGCATCTTGCTCTCTGGTCTGGTGTATCTTGGTTTCCTTGACTGGAGCAGCCAAGGTGGAGAGGGGAGGGGCTGTGCCTTTGGGAGTTCCCAACCCCATCTGCCCCTTAGACTCTCTTATGTCTCAGAAACCCAAAATCTGAATGAGCTAAGGGGAGCTGCCCAGGTTCCAAGTCCACACAGGGCAGACCTGAGTACGCTGGTCATGCTGAGTGCCTACACCCCAGCCTTCCGAGGGGTCGGTGACTCCTGAACCTGGGGTTTGGCGGTTCTCCCAGGGACCAAACTGATTTAAAGGCACCGAAGGGTGAGTTGCCAGCCAGCCGCCCCTCCCCCATCAGTGACCTGCTCCAGTTATCTCTTGGGGAGCAGATCCCCCAACTTCCACAGACTGGGCAGGGTCATGGTGGGCAGCAGCTGGTGTTGTACAGATAGGTCTGCCTGAACTTAATGCCGGGGCAGCCAGGATGCTCTCACCAGCATCTACTGGTTTTAAAGGACCACTGACTGCATCTCAGATCTTGGGACGCAGTTTTCTTCCCCTGGGCTTGATGCACCAGCTTCTCTCTCTGTGCCTCCAGATCTGCTGGAGTTCCCATGGGTTGGCTGCTTTTGGGGGCCCTTGTGTGGGTGAGGAGTGGGGTGAAAGCGACTGGGAGGTTCTGTGTCCCCAAAGGCTGACCCCCTGAGGCCGCCTCTATGGAAGCAATACTTCCCAGCCCCTGCCCCAGGTGTTGACAGAGTTCAAAGACACAGCGACGTTCTGTGAGTGGCAGCAACGGTGCAAGGGTGCGTGTGCGTTCAACGTGAAGAGATGACAGGTGTGGAAGCAAGGGTCAAGTTTTACACCGAACGAGGAGGAAGGGAAGGCACTGGATGCTCAAGGTTTCTGTGGTTCCCGGTCTGCTGTGTGAAGGCCCCATCGTGGTGCGGGCAGGCACCACAAACTGTATCAACTTTTCTCATGGAGGTCAAGTCTGGCCAGCTGTCCCTCCTCCAAAGGGGGGCCTCCATGGGAGCTGCCCAGTTGTGTGACCTCGGAGCCTCCCACAAGGACTGTTGCCTTTCTAGACCATTCACCTTCCACCTGCCCCCATCTCTTCATCCTGCAGCCCCTTTTGTCCTAAAGCCTGGGAAAGCCAGGGTGTACCCATGCAGGCCCTGCCCCAAACAGGGGAGCCCTACCTGCTGGCACCACTTCCTCATCCGCACCATCCCTGCTGTTTGATGGTCTCTGTCTCCCCCACCATGATGTGGGAGTCTCGGGACAGCCAGGAAGTGAGTCTGTACTATGTGGGTCCAACATGAGGGTGAACCCCTGCTGGGTGTCAATCATGAGTTCACACCCTAACCCTAACCCCCAACCCCTGCTGGCTGTCAATTGTGAATTCACACCTTAACTCTAACCTTAACCCTAGCTCTAGTCCTTAACCCTAACCCTATACCTAAGCCTAACCCTTACGTAAGCCTAACTCTAACCTCAACCCTAGTGCCATGCCTAAGCCTAACATTAATCCCAACACTGGAATAGCTAGGAGAGGCGATTCTCTTCCACACTCACTTGGCAAAACAACAGGCCCAGTGGGCTGAGCAAGGCCCGGGATTTGCAGGGTGCTCACAATCCAGTGGGTGCTCAATGAGAAGGTATACAGTGCGTGTGTATGTGTTAGGGGAGGACATGTAGGCTCTCTCTCAGTCCCCAAGTCCAGGTCCACTTGGGGTTCTGCTGAGCAGGGTTGTGTTCGGATCAGCCAGGCAGGCGAGCCCCAGGGGCCAAGTGCTTGTTTCAGCACCTGGCTTGATTCTAGCCTGCCTGGGGAGTCTCCCAAGAAGGAAGCAGCCCTATGTTCACCAGCTCTTGGCTGATCTGGTTGAAAAGGGAGCAGAGGTCCCTGGACGGAGGTCTGGGTCTTGCCAGCAGCCCACAGGCCAAGTGCTACTAAAGCTGTTTCCTGGGACCCCTTGTACTTCCTGTCATCCCTGCTGCGTTCTCCTGGGGCCAAAATCCGGCCAGCTGCTGTGGGCACGTGGACTTGTTACCTGCTGTTAGATTGAGGGGGCACAGTGCCACATGGCTGCCAGGGTGAGCCTGGGACCACCATCCCCCCTCCAGCCACCAGCCCTGTTTGGGCCAACAGGCGCAATCCGCAGGTTTGGTGGATGTTGCCTGTATCATGGCCCTTGCTCGCGTCTGCTTTTCTCCATTTCCCTTCTGCCACCATGAAATCTCCCCTGGGTGGCACCTGCCTCTCACCAGGGTTGCCAGGGAATCTCAGATACACCCCCAGTCCTGTATAGGACAAAGTGGCACTAGAGGCCGTCTCAGGGCTCGGTGTTTGTTGGCTGCGCCTGGCTGCCCATCCTTCACACTGGGTTGAGACTTCTAAAAAATGACTGAGAACCTGTCGTCTCAAAATCCCCAGTCCCCGGGGCATGAGGATCACATCCAAACTGCAAGTCCGTGCCAGCAGCCTTCCCTGCCCTTGACTCCTCTGGCCACGGGCTGTCCCTCTGCTTGATCACTTGGCCTCACTGGCACCCTGCCCCCTCAGCCTGATCCACTCTGGCCCCAGGCCCATGCCATCCGCCCCCACTGGAGCTCTCCTGCCTCAGATCCCTGGCTTCCCCACCCGACAGTAACAGACTCCCAACACAAGTGCAGGGACTCCTGAGCTGATGCACCAAACACAGGGCCACGTATACAATAGGTGCTCAATCGATGCTGCTGGGTGACTCTAGAGGGAGTTCAGCATCACTCAGGGCCCGGGGCGGCCCCTGCTCAGCGTAGGGCACAGCCCCGTGAGCCCAGGGCACAGCCAGTCTCCCTGCTTTAGGAGAGTGACCGGCAGGATGATGGCTTCTGGCATCTTCTGAGGAGCTGGCCCAGTCCCACAGTAACTCGCTGAGACACGCCGCTGTCACACCTAATCAGTCAGCCAGCCTGCCATCCTCTCCCCTTGCCAAGAAACAACAAAAAAGAATCGTCTGGAAGTGAACTTGGAAGAACCCTAAATCACAAAAGCTCAATGCCAGATGCGTGAAAGAATACAGGGAGCAGGCAGAGGTGTGGCAGTGGCAAGAAATGGCCTTGAACTTGAACAAGGGGCCTCCTGGATGCCCAGCAGCAGCCCGGGGGAGCTGGTAGGAGCAGGGGGAGCCCTAGCTCTTAACTCACCCAGGACCCCATCCTGGATGCACTGTCACATTGCCCCCCCCCACTATCAGTTCACTGTCCTGGGGGGGACTCTGCTGGCGAGAGGCTCCCAGAGGCACAAATAGCCCCAAGTTCTTTCTCTCGGCCTGTCCATTCAAGAGACATCCGTGAAGTGACAGGTTTTATTGTCACTACTTACAGGCAAACAGCCAGCCTCACTCACAAACTCCCAAGGTCTGTCTGCTCTCCCCTGTGGCTCTGGAGTCAGCTTTTAAGCTTCAGGATCAGCACATCCCGTCTAGAACTTCATTCCTGGGGGTCCCTCTGTCCCTGGCATCTGTAAGTGACTCTTCCCAGAGCCTCCAGCCGAGCTTCCTATTGGATCCTTTTCCTGAGTTGTGAGACAGTTGAGGCAGGCTGAAGTGCACACACCGTCCTGGCCGAGGGACCTGACTGTGCAGCACTGCCTGCCTCCCACGCGGGTCCTTCTTTGGGGGCACGGGGCAGAGTGGGAGCAGGTTTCCTGTTTAGATATTGCTAGTTCATCGAGTAGAATTCTTGTCTCAGGGACAACTGCCTTTATCACATCTATCCTAGCTAAAAGTCTTCCAGAGACAAGGAAACTGAACAAGCGAACACACACACACACACACACACACACACACACACACACACACACACACACACACACACACACACACACACACACACACACACACACACACACACACACACACACACACACACACACACACACACACACACACACACACACACACACACACACACACACACGCTCTAAGCTTAACCCCGGGATGAGAGGTAAGCCAAGAGCTGCACAAGGGATGCCCGGTCCCAAGCCCCTGAAGTGTTTAGAAGTGACAATCCTGATAAGGCACAGCTGGGCTTCAGAGCTGCTGTTTCACACATTCAACAAAGCTGTCAATTCCAAAAGGAAAACAATTGTGAAACAGACGCCTGGGCCTGGTGCTGGCATGGGGTGGAGCTGCCAACCAGCTCCAAGTCCCTGGCTGTCCAGGGAGTGAGTGGTCACCCAGGCCAGCCGTCAGTGGCACTGACCCAGCCGATTCCCAACAGGGTCCCAGTCTTTGGGTCAGCTCCTGGATCGCAGCCTGCTGGCTGGCAGCCTCACCCCATTGCTTCCCTGGTCACCCTTAGGGCATGCACCTGCACCATTCCCAGTCCCCAAAGGGCCAGCAGGTGAACATCAAGCTGTAATGATTCCAGTCTGGGTCCTTCCAAGTCAAGAGGTAGCCCAGAACCTTCAGCTACTCCAACATGGGTGATCACCAAACCACCTGGCAGGTGGGAAGGAAGAGTCCTTCACCACGTCCATCACTAGTGGCAGCCGCAGCTGCCACTTCATGCTTCTTATGGGGCAGCCCAGGGAATCCTGCTTTCCCTCACCAGTACTCCTGGGGCACCTTCACAATGCAGGAGCCAAGGTCTGGAAGGGTGCAGCGTGTGGCACTGCTGGTGAGGGACAGACACAAGAGCCACCTCTTCCCGCCCCCATTGCGGCACTGTGAGCCGTGTCACCTCTCTCCAACACCACAAGGACTCCCTGGCCTCTGTCCTGATGCCCGGAGGTGCAGGGGTGAGGCCCATGGGCACTTCCTTCTGACTTCTCAAATCAGGGGCCAGTGGGCACTGTCTGAGCACAGATCCCTGCCAAGTTCGCCAGCCAATGGGGTGGGAAATGAAGAACGCACAGTTCCAGAGCATTTTGTCATTTCAGGTTTGCCTCTTTCCCACTTCTGTCTTCCTCCCAGCAGCCCCTTTACACCCAAGACCCCGGTCCTGCCACAGCTGAGGCCTGGCTCTGGAGCTGCATTTCTGCAGAGCCAGCAAAAGAGGAACCCTAGCAGGTTTTCGTGGCTAAAACTCTCTCCAGACTGGGGTGACTGTGAGAAGCCAGAGGTGGGGAAGCCTGGGGGTGGGAGCGAACTGTCCCCTCTCCCACCCCAGCCCTGGAGGTGTCCCGCCGCTGCCCCTCACCTGCACGAAGCCCCAGAGTGGATGGAGCGCGCAGTGCAGCAGCAGAGAGGGCCAGCAACAGCCACGGCGCAGCACCAGGTCCCGGAGGAGCATCTCGGCCCGCAGCGCCCGCTGGAGCGGCCAACTGTCAGGGGAGCAAGGCTGGGGTCAGGCGGACGCAGCGCGAGCACCATCGCTGCTGCGCACCGGCACACGTACCAGCCCCGGGGCAGCTGGCACGCCCCGCACTCCCTAACGCCCTGGCCAGCCGAGTCTGCACTTTCACTGCAGCCTGCACACTCACCGACCTTTCGTGCACTCACATCCCGTCCTAGGCACACGCCCCGGATCAGCGCGTGCACCCTGGCCCGCACGCGCACGCTTCCCGAACCCCGTGCAACCTACAGAGCTCGCCCAACACAACTCGTTCTCACCCTGAACATACTTCAAATCCGGCGGGCACCGCGCACCCTGCGCGCACCCTCACAGGCACAGTCGTGCACCACCCACGGACGCCCGTGCATACTCGTGGACTCTGCATGCCCAGCATCGCGAAATCACACGCAACCTGCACCCTCTCTCCCGGCTGGCCTCACTGCGCACACCGCAAGACTCGCACCTCCGTGCGCACCGCGTTGGCAGTCCCCCGAGCCCCGATCACTCCCTCCTCCCCGCCCGCACCTCTCCAGCGCCTCAGGCCACCTCCGCGGGCGACGGCCCCAGCAGATCCTCTGCTTGGAGAAGGAAGGTCCGCGCTCCCCCCGTGGCGGCTGTTTCCCCACCGCCGGACGGCCCCCATTTAAAGCCCGCCGCCTCCCCAGTCCCCCGCCCTCTAGGCGGGGCCTCCGTTCTCACCCTGGCGGCTGCGCGGGCGCCTGGGGGCTTCACATGCCGGGGAGGAGCGCCGAGCACTGGAGCAAAAGTTTGCGCGCCGCTTGGGCCTCCGGGGCGGCTGAGTCGGGGACCCAGGCGCAGCGCGCTCGCTCGGGACGCAGGGCGCGGCGGCTCCGGGCTGCGCCTGGCCGCGCGCGGGGCGGCACCCTGCGCCCAGGGCCGGGGCGGGCTGCCGAGGCGGAGGCAGAGGGCGGGTAAAGTCCCCCCGCCCCGAGACGCCTGGAACCGGCCGCGCGATCCCTCCCCGCGCCGCCCGGGTCCCCGCCCTTCCCGGGGGCGCCGCACGGCTGGCCGGGTCGCTGGGGTACCGGTGCTCTCCGCGCCCCTCACGCGGCCGGGCGCGGAGCCGCGGGCTGGGGCAGCAGGGCCGCGGGCGGAGGCAAAATCAATAATGCACGAAAAAGGGCAACAGACGTGAGCCGAGCCCGCGCCTTGCCCGCCTCCCGCCAGGGACTGCGCTCCCGCCCGCGCTCCCCGCTGCCGGCGCTGCTGCAGTGGTTCCTCGTCTCCATCTAGCGAGGCTATTGTGTATTGGGCGCTTAATAATTTATTTCTTCACCCTGGAGGCCGAGAAGCCCTGGTGCCCGAGGGTCTCGCTCTTGCCCTGTCTCCTTGGGGGAACTGACTTATGGAGACCCCTTTCGCATCCACCCTGTTGCTTTTTTCCCCAAAGGCCTCCCAGGGGCTGAGCCAGCAGGTGGAGGCCACTCACGTCCCCCCACACCCGGAGGTCCAAGTGCCTGATCCTGCCATTGGGACCCAGCATTAGAATCTCCCCCGCCAGGCCCCGCCTCCGCCCCCTCCCCCTTCCACTGCTGTAACAGCCCTGGGGAGAATCTTCCGGTCCCCAATCCTTGGCTCCGTGGCAGGCAGATTATCAACAAGTCTTGGGGACGGAGTGGGTCCCACCTCTCCAATAAGCTAGAGGAAGCAGATGCAAGGCCTCTCTGCTTGGGAAGTAGGAAGGAGAAAACATTTTGCCAGCATTTTGGCAGATGTCCTGAAGGACCTGGGTAATCGTTTTTTTAGATTGGATGAAAGAAACAGGTGTCTGGGACACAATTGATGCCCTCTTTCTCTGTGGGCAAGACTAAGGCAGCCCGGGCAAAAAAACTCTGAGCTTCAACTGCCTGCCAAGCGGCGTCCACATCCATCTCCTTCCTGTGTCAGCTGGGGCTCTTCTCCCACAGGCTCTGCAAACCCACACCCCAACTGGGGGCTGTCGGGAGCATATCCCGGTGGGCCCTGTCTGGCCACTGTCCACCAACACTGCATGGAGCACCAGACTGTGAAGTAAGGGCAAAGCACAGGAATGGAGACTGTGGGGAGGTGAGTGAAGGCCAAGCATGGGGGGCCCCTGGGGACAGGGGGACATGTCCGGGGTTTTGGTCACTCTTTGGGCAAAATTTGTGAAAGTATTTGTCCATTCATTCCACACGCAGCGTCTGCAAGGATCCCGACAGAACACCAGTTGCTGGGTCTGGAGTGGTAACTCAATCATGTCTGGCCACGGCCCATTGTCAGAGAAGGGTGATGGATCAACTGATGAGGCGAGGCGCTTCCTAGCTCAACTTGAGCCAGCTGAGATCAAGGTGACCCTAGCTGCAGGTGTCTGCAGCTGGAGCTGATCAGGGTCAAAAGCAAACCTTCAGCTGTGATGGCGACTTCCCGGTGTGTGTACTCAGCCCCGTGCCCCTTACACGTGTTCTTCACATTGCCTTGTAATTGCGTTCTCACAACTTGGAGATCATTCGTAATTGCCCTATTCAACAAGATCCATGTTGTTTGTGGCTTAGCTTGAATCACTCAACTGCTCCCCTGGGATTCAAAAGTACTAACCTCCTCCAATGACAGATCCAAGACTGGGAGAGCCTGGGCAGTTTTCGTAGGTGGGGAAGCAGTCCATTCTGGTCTTCAGCACCCCCATCCCAGACCTAGTCCATGAATCTCTCCAGCATTCCTTGGGTCCCACCTCTTCTTGGGCCTCCTAACATCAGGGAAGCTCCCAGCCTCCCTTAGGGTGAAGGCAGGGCTCACATGGGCCCCTGGAAGTCCTGGCATCTCACCCCTCCCCAGATTCAGATGGCAATAGACACCAGGGCACATGGGATCTTCCAGGTGACTCAACTCAGAAATGCAGGGAGTTCAGCCGCTGGGAAATTGCTAAGCAATGCATGACCAGTGAGGAAGGGACCCAGCAGAAGTGGCTGAGGTGAGTCCACGTGGCCCATGCAGCAGGTGGACTGCGCAAGGAGATGAACCTTCAGAAGGTGTGGGCAGCTGGGTGATGCACCATCTTGTGCTTGTTTGCTGGCCTCACCTCTTTTCTTCCTGTTTCTATTGCCTGAGCATCGTAGCCTCCAGTCAAGTCCGAGCGAGCAGGCACTGCTGCACGCTGTCCTAGGGATCAGGGCAAGGCATAGCACATGTGGAACAGAAAAGCAGAACTTCAGGAAGGGCTGCTGGAGATGGCTGCTTGCTGACAGTAACAGGACTGTCTCCAGATATTGTGTCACTTAATTTTTTAAACATTGATCTATTTGAAAGGCAGAGTTATGAGTGGGAGAGAGGCATGTATCCTCCTGCTGGTTCACTCTGCAAATGACCTCACAGACAAGGTTCAATCAAGCTGAACCAGGAGGCAGGTGCTTTTTCCAGACCTCTCATGTGGGTGGCAGGACCCCAGGTACTTGGGTGGTCTTCTTCTTCTTTAAAGATTTATGTAGTTATTATTATTTGAAATTCAGATTTACAGAGAGAAGGAGAGACAGAGAGAGAGAAAGATATTCCATCTGCTGGTTTACTCACCAAGTAGCCACATTGGCCAGAGTTGAGCTGATCTGAAGTCAGTAGCCAGGATCTTCTTCTGGGTCTCCCAAGTGGGTGCAGGGTCCCAAGGTTTTGGCCCTTCCTCTACTGCCTTCCTAGGCCACATGCAGGGAAGTAGATGGAAAGTGGAACAGCCAGGATGTGAACTTGCACCCATATAGGATCCTGGCACATGCAAGGCAAGGACTTTAGCCTCTAGGCTGTCACACTGGGTCCTGGGCAATCTTTTGCTTTCCCAAGCCATTAGCAGGGAGCAGGTTTGAAAGTGAAGCAGCCTGGATATGAACCTGTGCCAATATGGGATGCCAGCATTGGAGGCAGCAGCTTAACCCACTAGGTTGGCCCTCATATTGTTTCTAAAGCTCCACCTGCAGCTGCTTAGAGTGACATGTACTCAGAAAGAAAGCCACTATGGAATTAAATGGCTGCTGCACTGGCTCAGAGCAGGGAAAATGATAATCCCAAGGATGGGGGCCAGGTGGCCTTGGCTGGCAGGATTATGACAGGCTCAGGGCAGCTCTGTGCGACTTAAGGCGTGCTTCACGGAGGCTTTCAGGACACGCTGGTGTTTGCCAGACAGGCCAGCTTGCAAACTCAGCTCGGGATCCAATGGTAAGGGTGGCAGAGCTCAAAAGGATTCTAAATGCACAGCCTTGTGTCCAAGCCTGGGGTTTTAAGAGGAAACAGTTGGGATCTTGTACTGTCTGACAGTATCATCTGGATGGGGAAACAGAAACCTCCATACCCACTGCCTCCCTAGGTCCTCCGGCGGAGAGGAGCCGCTGGTTCCTCCCAGTTAGAAGAGCTCATCCCCCTGCCTGGAGACCCTGGTGACCTCATCGCAACAGACGCTTTCAGGATGGTACCTGTCCTCGTGGAAAGAGCCTAGGGATGAGGTGGCATGCCAGGGCTGCTTGGCATCGCAAGGGGAAAAAGGGAAGTCTCGATGCCTACGGCAAACAAGATCCTGCCTCTTGACTCTGTCCCCTGCCACCACTCAGAGAACACTCCTTTCACTGAGACAAAAAGCAAAGTGCAAGGGCAGCAGCAGCCACTTTGAAGGGTGTGGTGGAACTACCGGCTGGTGATCCAGCTCTGTGGCAGTCCTTGGGGCCCTTGTGTCAATGGAAGTCGGTGTCAAGGGTCCCCAGGCAAGGGGTCATGAGAGACAGGGGGTGTCATCACTAGGGTGTCACATCAGGGTGACATGAGCCATTGGAGTCCAACTCAGTGGCTAACAGATCCTTGTGTAACAGGTTGTGAGCAAGAGAGCTAGCTAGCAGTGGCAGTGCGCAGCTGGTCCAAGTGCAGGGGAAGGCAAGAGTGCAAGGCCAAGAAGATGACATCAGCTACTGCAATGGGAAATGAGCTCAGTTTGGGTGCAGCCCAGAGGCCCTTGGTGTGAGAAGAGGCTGG